GGAGGATTGCATGCATAAATCCGGTACCTCCCGATTTCTCAGTATTAAATCGGGAGGATTGCATGCATAAATCTAGTACCTCCCGATTTCTCAGCACTAAATCGGGAGGATTGCATGCATACATCTGGTACCTCCCGATTTCTCAATACTAAATCGGGAGGAATCCCATTTATGAATCCTGCACAGGGCGCACAATCTCTCTCCAGCACCTCAAGTCACCGCCCACTGCTGCAGGCTTTAAGCACATCTGCATTCTGTGTTTCTTCCCTCTGAAATGCCGCCTCACGATCCAAAACCCGCGCATGGAAACCATGTGTCTTTCCACCATTGCTCTCGCGTTTCGCTTGTTCTTATTTACCAATTTCTCTCTCGCCTGGACAAGGAGCCTGACACTTGTATGCCACGTCGGCATCATTAGGGGTTTGCCGGCTGCTGTCGCCATGGACGGCCATCTTACCCAGTCTGGCCGTGGCTCGAAAGTCTCTCGCCGTCTGTCGCCCGGCCCTTGCTCATGTGGGTACGTACCTAATGCAAGTCGTGAAATTTCCCGACCTGCACTTGGCGCCAGCCAATAGAAAGTGACCTGGACTTTGTAGGTGCACTGGCCAGGATGTGTGTTGAAAGGCGTGGATTTGCATTGCCACTCGCGGATGGAAGGCAGGCATCGAGCGGCGAGCTTGGAGATTTGAGCAAGGCAGACCGAATTGTTGTGGTCGCAGAAGGTTTGGTTCGGAGGGGCCAGAAATGGGGGTGGGTGTGAACCACGATGGCGATGGGAACTGCCCGGACGGGGGCAAAGTCCACTGATGGGTGCACTGGATGGCCTCACCGAGAAGTCTCCACTGTTGGGCATTCACATGTTGGCAGAGACGAAAGTGGAGCCGTCCACCTAAGGATTCTCACCGAGCTGACCGCAGACGGAGTTTGGTGCAGACAGTGGAGCTGCAGACTGATGAGGCATCCAAGTAAGCTAGACTGTAGTCGGGTACCTTCCGTGCAGGAAAGGAACACGAGAAGGGACTCAGTGGTGGACTCAGAACGTCCTCCCCACATTCATTCACTGCCCGGGCAGGAGGTACTTAGATACATACCGATTTCACACCTTGAAATCGGTATGTATCCCCACGCACGATCAGCGTATGGTGCCTTCCATCGGTGGCGTTCCCGCACAGCGTCGCTTCGGTCCTGGGTGCTCGCCATGCGCTGTTAATCCTGGTGCTTGATAAAACGATGCAAGTTGTAACAGACTGGGATGCCTTCTCCGATTGAGGATGCCACGCGATATGATCTGCACCGACTGCAAATTAAGAGCAGATGACTGCGTGTCGCGTCGGATGTCGTTGGTTTGCTGGGCGGTGGATGAATGCAGCAGGCCAGGGCCCAGGCCGCCCCCTTCTCTCCTCCATCACATGTTCGGTGCTGCTTTGATCGGGGGGCTTCGACACGGACCATTGTTCTGCGCCTGTGCTTGGAGGAGGGGAAGAGCGCGGTCCGACTGCTGGGATTTTGAGGAAAGGGGGAATGCGACGAGGTGTCCTCCACCGCAAGGTAGGTAGGTACCTTAGGTATGCAATGGTCAAGACGGGTTGCCGTTGTGAACGGTGAAACATTGACGGGATGGTATCTCACCATTCCGTTGTGCTTAGGTAATGGTACATACCGATTTTGTGCGGGGAAATCGGGAGGTATCATTACAACGGACCATCACAAATCAAACGGCGGACGCAGCCACACCGTTACAACGACGATTGGTGGCCTGGCTTCAGAGAACCACCAGCCAGGCGCCCTCAGCAAATGCTAAACAGAACCAAACGTGAAGACGCAGTTCCCAGGGCGCCAGTGCACATTCAGAAATGCATCCCTGCTACTCAGCATCCGCAGCGTCACGCTGTCGTCATGCGACTTGCTTCCCGCCGGCGAACAAGGTAGTCAGCCTTTCTCAGGACTCGCGGATCGGCTTGTGCCTGTGGTGGCGAGCTCTAGAGAAGCAAACTAGATATTGCAGGGATTGGGGTTGGCGGTCGTGCGGATGCTCCTTTGGTAAGAAGGAAGACAGAGGAGATGTGGAATGAGCGGCATGCGAAGGTTCCAAGCAGTGTTCGGGTTTATCTGCCGCCTTCGTTTGCGGCCTGCATCAATGCTGGGCAAAGCTGAACCCATGGCCCGGGTTCGCCAGTCCCCCTTCGCAAGCTACTTGTATCTTCGTGTTCGATCCCGGGAACAAGGAAAAAATCGTTGCATCCGCTGACGCGGGCTGCAGATTGGGTCATGTCATTACTGCGGGGGAGATCGAAAGTCAGGGTGGTGAGGCCGGTGAATTCAACGTCAGCGAAGTTGGCGGGGCTTTCTTGAGGTTGGTGAGACACTGTCACACTGAGGTGCTAGCAGTGGCAGCGCCCTGATGGTGGCATATCAAAGGTGCCCTGATGGCCAGGGTACCTACCGATTCCACAGCCAAAAATCGGGAGGTACCCCAGTAACCTTAGTGGAGGGAACACTGGGCGCCCCGGTAGCTGTACCCCCAGCCGAAAACAGGCTAGGTAAGGTAAGCTGCCTCGTGCAAAGGCCCCACCCAGCGGTCAACGTCAACCCTACTCTGCCAATCTCCTTGGAATTGTCGCCATGACGCCCAACAGCCCGAAAACGTCTGCCATGGCCTACCTCGATCGGCCCCACGCTTTGCGATCCAGTCGCTCGCATCCCTAGAACCAGTCGATTCCCGAATATCAATCGCACCTCAGTCTGGACGCCGGAAAAGATCCCAGCAGGCACCGCGTAGGCATCCAGCTTCACGTACCAGCCGCTCCCGACAACTAGCTCGACACCCTGTTCATGTGCTTCTCCTTCCGAATCAACGACGCCCCGATGCCGAGATCGAAATGCTTGCTGGCCAGCGTGGGAGCAGGTCTCAAAAGCTTTAGTCACAGCTTCTGTCGTCGCCGCTCCAACCCGTGGAAGTTGTTGCCAATTGACGCATTACTCCTCTCCCGTCCATCTCGGCCCCGATTGCATCCAATGAAAAGTATTCGCCCCGTTCGAAGTATGGGATGGACGATTATCTTCTCGATTCAAAGCCATACAAATGCAACGCTGATCTCTGGCGGCAACGTGCGGTCAGTGCCAGAGGACCTTCGACACGGGACGTTTCAGGCCAGAAGTAGATGTGCCTCCTGCTGGGCGACCGAACACACCACGAAGTGTGTGGAGGAATAGAGTGCGCATGCATGGAGATATACGTGGCTCAGAGTGCTTGCTTTCTGGAAGCCGAAGATCCTTGGTACGCACCGGCCCAGCAGGTTGATGCTGGTATGGATGGAACAAGACTGCCACATGCCCAGGAACATCGCCCGCGCAACCCATCATCTTCCTGATTTCTCCGTGTAGTTCCAGCGACGTCCAATGCCTTGACAAACCGTAGCTTCCAATCGTCACGGCAGCTTCTCTCCATCGTTGCGGCGCAGGGAGGCCAGCCAAGAAGGAAACGTTGTAAGTGCACCCGCTGCTCCTCGGGGATGATCAGTGGGCGCCGGCGGATGGATTGTCACAGTACTGCCTCCAGCAGTGCATGAGGCATCGTGGGGTAGGGCGCGCGCGCTGGATTACCTAGACACACCGAAACCCAATCGCCCAACATCGCAATGCTTCCACATCACAGCCTTCGTGTCCCGATTACTTCTGCATCGCGAACCCGCATGCTTGTCGTCCTGGAACGAGGCATTCGCCGCGTCACGTCGTGCGAGTGGCCGTTAAGGCAGGTGCGCGAACTTGGTTACCTACCTTTTTCAGGCAATTCCTTCTATACCAGACACTTCGCTTTGGGTTTGAAGTTGCTCCTGCCTTCTCTCGTTAGATCGCTCTTTCCCGTGCCCTGCCATTGCCTTGACGCCGCCTCCCCTTCCTGACTGTCTCCTCTTGCTCTCTCTTCCCTCCCACCTCTGTTGTTCTCCTCCCTCCGATGTTTCAACCCCACAATCGCACCAACTTCTTCCCTTCCTTCCTTCGACAAACAACATCTCCTAGAGCTCATCCGTCGACACAAACAAACCCCAGTCCTGTCAACTACTTCAAACCTAACGGAGAAACAAAATCCAAGCTGATCTTGACTGATCTTGTTGCTTCCCTCTCAAGATGCGTCCGATCAAAAACCCATCCGGCAAGGATATCGACCGGTACGCGGGCCGGATGTTTGTGGAGCGGGGACACCTCAAGAATGGGACGTTTGTTGATGATAGCAAGCCACCGGCCCAAGGCACGGGCTTATTTGCCGACGAGAAGAGCCAATGGTACTGCCCTACCCTTTCACTCTTCTCAACAACCCATAAGCATCCACCTAGCTAACAACAGACACAGGCTTCTTCGCTGCCCGCGAACACGGCAAGGCGATGACGCCTTAATATGAAGAATCTTGGAGGTGTCTTCTGTTCCTACTCCAGAAATCCACCAGATCGCTGTAGTGCGTCATCACGATGGGTCGCCCAAGTCTTCACCGCATGCACCCTCCGACCCCGGCCTGCTCCTACTCCAGACCAGTTCCCAACACCGACATCTTTCCGCCCTATTGCCTACCCTGTTCCTACTCAGGGCTAAGATGGCTCAGGGCTAAGATGGCGATAGTGCGTCAACACGGGGATTTCTCCAAGTCTCCACCGGATTGGCTCCAACCTTCTGCTACTTCAGACCAAGATCCGGACACCGACAGCACAAGCGCAAAATACCATATCAACAAGGGCGCAGGCTAATATCGGGGAGGACACTGATGGGTTGCATGGTGAGCCAACTCAGGCTCACGGGCAACAGTTTTGGCAAGGCAGATTGGGAAGAGTCATGCTTTGGGCCTGGAAGGATGTTTCAGGGATGAGCGCTGCTGGAGTAGAAATTCTCTGCGACGGGATTGGACAGGGAAGAGTGGCGGATAGCAAAGTCACTGGCAGGAAATGGACGACGATAAGCGGCCGTCGTATAAACTAATTCATCGCGACGCCATGAGGCCGAGTCCACGTTCATCCACTAAGCTGTTTGTGGACCAAACGCACAATTCCCTCCAGGTTCTGCACGGTATGGCGTCGGTCGGAGGCATCAGCAAGGTCTAACCAACGAGTGGCACTGACGTAGATGAAATCGGTCAAGGCATCGTTACCGCCTTGCGCATGCATCTTCAGCTGGTTGAGGTACAGTTCGGAAATGCCTACTTGCAGAAAGCGGAGGTAATGTCGAGCTGCAGCGATGACGATGATTCTGTGAAGAGCGATAGAGATGTTAGCCGTGCCCTGGAGACCCGACCTGTCGTGAGACTCCTTACGTTTCTTTAGGTCCCGCCCAAACTGTAGGCTCTTGTTGGAACCTCACCGCGAGCGCCTCCCCGATCATCTGGCCGAAACGTTTGTCCGACAGCGAGAGCTCGCCTTCTGAATAGCTGTCGACGAAACGCTTCGCCTCAATTAGAGCGACACGACCGCGGCGCCTACCGTCACAGAAGGCGACAAGACCGCCGTCGTCACGAGACGTGAATTGGAGCTCGCCGTGCTGGACCTGGAACGTGGCTTGGGCATCCTCCAACATGACGACCGGGTCGGCTTTGGGGTTAGCCTGGGAGGGTAACCAAGGAAGAGCTTGTCTGATAAAAGATGAGACGAGGTGGACGGTGAGGGTCTCGGGATGGCAGGTTTGATCTGCTTTAGGGCTTGGCGGGCCGTAGAAGACGTCGGGTGACGAGCCGATCGGAGGGGCAGTGGTTTGGCTCGACGAGAGATCTATCTGATCTGAGCGTGCGAAGCCCGGGTGCTGCGGCGGTTTGACTTGTCTTTTCGGCCGTCGGGGGATCGGCGAGGAGCTGTTGGACTCCGGCACCTTGCGCTTGCGCGAAGAGTCGCCGCCAGGTGCTTCATTAATGTTGATCGGATTGTCGCCCGACCCAACGGCTTCGCTGCCTCCGTTCGATTTGCTACCGTCTCCCCGACTAGTCTCGTTGGGCTCGTCGGGCTCGCTGGGATCACTGGGATCGCTGGGCTCGTCAAGCTCGCCACTGAATGCCTGTATCTCCTCAACTCCTCTCGCCTCCTCAAGCTCGCCTAACCCGTCGCCGATTGGATGGTGAGAGCTGCTAGCTTTCACCTTGTCCAAGCTGGCCCAAAGTTGACCCAACGACTGGCCATAAGTCCATACGTTCTGGTGTTCGGTCTGTGGCTGGTGGTGTTGCGGGCCTCGGCAGATTCTCTGCAGGTGGGAGATAGACCGGTCCGAGCTATCGTTGCCCTCATCAGAGCTAGGATCCAGTTTGAGACGTTTTTGAAATGCCTCTGTTGGACCGCAGCCCGCCGTCAGTAGGATGGGTAGCAGGTTGTTCTTGGTGTTTGGTGCGACAAGAACTCGGCATGCTGCTAACTGTGCCTCGCCCCAGCCGCTCGTACTCTTCCCAGTCACGTCGGAGAGGAATGCGCGTGGAGCGAGCCGGTCGTATTCGGTCTTGGAGGAAACGGTATCGAAGTAGGGCTTGGGAGGGGCCATCGTGGAGGGTTTGACGCGACGCAACAGGACGGAAAGTCGAAGCGATATGAACGAGGGATGTGGTGTCCTGTCGCGTTGTCCAGCTCAGCTATGCCGTGAAAATCGTCAGTAAAGGAAGAGTCAAAGATCATAGTTGAGCGGGGACAACTGGCTTGAGTTGGGATCTGAAATGAATCCTGCAGTTGGTGCCGAAACGGGGATGGTGGTGATGGTGAGTGAGCCCGGGATGCGGTTGCATCTTTGCTTGGGAGAGGGCGGACATGTGTCTTGGGAGGTTGGCAGAGGCGCGCAGGCAGTGGTGGTAGCAAGGCGTACGATTAGCAGTAGCCATTTTTCAGGTGACAACGAATGCCAGCATTACTTGACGCTGATGCCATGCATTGGGTCTGAATTCCCAATCAAGCGGGGCAGCAACGGCGGCCAGGGCCGGCGGTAATGATACGGAGGGGCCCGGGATGCCTCCGGGCGGGACGGTGCGGATCAATAGATATTGCGAGCAGGATGCTGACTAAGATGCTTGGAGCTAAGGCCTGATGTCATCCTACCTCAGTTCACATGCAACATGCAGCCCAGCTTATCTAATCAGTTCCCACTTGATTCTCCCCACCGTCGCACGCGTCTGTTTGTCAATTCCATCCTCAACTTAACAACAAGGGGTTCCGGCAGGGACCCTGCATGCCACCATCACCATGCCGTCCACCCTATCTTCACCTCCCACGACACCTCCCTTCGAACACGCAGTCGATCTTCCGGAGCTCTCAATCAGATCCATCCTTCAACTCTACCCTAGAGAGCGCTTGCTCGTTCAACCGCTGCACTGGACCCGACGTCAACTCCAGCTGTTGGGATGCACCTTTGTTCATCGCGAAAGCCCGCTTCACCTGCACCAGCATGGGAACAAAGAAAAGCAGGCCAGCAGCAGTGCATCCTCAGATCTTTACTCAATCAATCACCCGCGGCGATCACCTCCTTTTTCTCCCATGCGGAGCCCCAACAAAGAAGGCAATCCCAACAACGTGAACGGCATCACTGATGATGCCCGCACCAGCAAGACCATGTCCAGCCTAGCATATGCCTCTGCGTCTGCGTCTGCACCTTTGTGTGAATCCAATGCGTCACTCAGCCGTCATTGTCGTCGCGTATCTACCCTCGCCTGCTCGCAATGGACTCCAACTAAGGCCTCAGCCATGCAAGCCATCCTGACTTCCAGCCCTGCCTCCCTGGTGCTGACGAGGTATGCAAACGATTGACTATACTATCTCTAATCCCTCTCATACTGACCGCTCTTGCGCAACAGGAAACACCTCCTTTTCCGTTTCGAGTCCCACGAGATTCCCATGCCCTGCTTCGTCTTCTCCCGTCCGGCTCGAAGTCCAGGAGCCACTGCGCCAGCCAAAGCGACAACCCTGATCCCTTGCATGGCCTACATCAACTACGGCGATGTTTGCATCGCGCGGAGGAACTCGCTGAAGTACATCTGTGCGCCGGGGAGAAACCGACACGCAATGAGCACGCCCACCGCTTCTCTCTATGCGCTCCGTCTCGCCCAGATCACCCCAGACGATACCCATGATGATCCGTATATCGCTGCTCTTCTCATCGCCCTTGCCCAATCAAAGCGACGGTTCCTGGGGCTTGTGCAGCCACGCCCTTCGCCCGATTCCTACTGCGTACGTCATGTCGACTCTCTCCAGTCCCCCTCCCCTGTTGCTTCAACTCCCATCTAACTTTGACCTGAATAGGTATACGTGCTTCGAACAGACCCCACGGACGAGTCGTACCTCACTCTCTATTCGGCCGACATACCTGCCACCATGCTCCGAAAGCTTTCAGACTCCAATAAGCCATCTCGCATGCCCTCCAACTTCTCCGTCTTCTCGAAAAAGATTTCATTCAAACCATATTCGTCCTTTCAAGAGCGTCTACTCCAGTCCATCATTCCCCAGACTTCGAAGCGACAAAGAACCCGGGAAGATGTTGATTCCCGGGATAGTAAGCGGCAGCGGACATGATCAAAGAGCAGAGTTGCCAACATTGCAGGGCGACGGGTGATGGTAGATGGACCGCAGGTATCCAAAACTGCGATACGAGACTTGACTGGGAAGCGGGACGGCGTAGAGCGACTTTGGATTTACAGATACGGCCGCCGGTTCGAGGCCAAAGATACCCATTTGGACTGGTTTTTTTTTTTCTTTCTGGCGTTGGTATATGGTATACCCAATATGGTTTGGCGGTCGAGATATCGTCGATATGCTGAAGAACAAAGAAAATCCTTCGAGCAGCTGTGTCTTTCAATCGTGGCAACATGACTGTGTTTCGTGAACTTCTTCAAATCTGTCGCCGCTGCTGCATACTGCAAAATCAGAGGGCATCCAGCCAAGAAATTGCAAAGCGAAACGCTTTGTGACAGCGCCCGTGAATTTAAAAATCAAGGGTTAGCTAATCCCGCCGCATGGACATCGACGCTTTGCTGGCGAACGTCAATGGAAGTCAAACCCTCGGGCCTCAGATCCCGACGGCTTGATTTTGGCGAGGGCGCGGCATTGATGGTCCAGTTCGTCGTGGATACAGCCTCCCGATGCCGAATGCACTGATTACGCCACAGAAGACTCGGAACAGACGTAGTGACTTGTCATCGTTCGTCTTCGCTTCCAGCCATACGGCAATCAGCCGGTATCACAGGGCACGATCTGGATCGCGGTATTTCAACATCGGCTAAAACAAACATGGCAATGGTTACAGTTGCCTCGTTGCACGCAAGGAGCCAGCCCTGCGCAGTACGTGTATCAGGCGATTGGATCGAACGAGGGCCGGATGATTTTGCCTGGCGACTTATTTCTTTGTATCCACTCGTCATTTCAGTTGAGTGCCTCGACCGCCATGAGACGCTCATCCGTGCCTAGCGTCTGTGATAAGTTAGAAAGACTCATGCAGAGATGCCCATTATCACAGGGCAAGCGTCCAGTCAGTACAAGGGTATGACTTCCGTGACATGGGCCTTTTTACCCTACCAGACCGAGAGCGTTATAAATTTCCAGCTTTAAGCTCGATCTCCTGTTTGTATCGGATGCAGCTGTGTCCACGAGGATCGTCGTGTGGTGCAATAGAGCGCAGATTGTGCCAAAAACGTTTCAGTATTGGCATTCGATAGCCTCGCAAGATGACCAAGACATTGTAGCATGCCATCATGTGCTCTGAATGCCTTGTCGAATACGAGCTTTTCCACTTACGTCCAGGTACACTGGGAGACTTTGGATTGAGTCCTTTTGAGCGATCCGAGGTTCCAGACTTGGCGATGCTGGAATTGAAGAAGTTAGTATCTGGAGGAGGGGAAAGAGGTTGTTCACTCTATCCGCAAATGACGAGAGTCGGTCACTCTCTTGGGTTCAACAAATCTTCCTCGGTGGAGGCAACAGCCTCGTCGCACTGGAAAGACAAGATGCTCCTCGTCGACGAGAGAGGATGCGTTGCTGCCACAAAGCCTGGTGATTTAAGATGTGCGGACTACGAAGAGGAGACCCATTAGTCTTGGGCCTTCGCTCGGCACCAGCGTCACATTTGGGCCTCGGGTGCTCTTCCTTCCAGACTTTATTGATCAGCCTAAGAACTTCTTTGTTAATGATGTTGACCATCTTGTGGATGCCCCATATGGCTATTGTAGTTCCAGTGCGCATATCAGTCTGGTTTGTCAGAAGTATGCTGCGGGATGAGGGCTCGAACCCGGGCAACAAGCTTGCAATAGGGCCACGACTCTTCTTCACAGTCAACCTGCACGTCTACTTCAATAATCCCAAAATGTCTATAATGGTGAGTGTTTTGTAGTCTGCTACGCAAGTAACCCTCCGCTTCACTGGTCATTCAGGCGGTAGGTCTTGAGATAAGTCTGATAGCGATGGTTAGTCGCGCCAATTTTCGATTGGCTACCTGGATCAATGTTGGCCGGCCAAGAATGCCACCTATCTGAGGTCCAACATGAAGATAGCAGAGGCTAGCTTATGAAGCTCAGACGGACTAAGGTGGGCGTGAAGCCTGTCGGTCTACGCGTCCACTAATACCCGGCCTGTTCATCTGAGTGTTTGTTCGGTTGGCACGACGCTTTGCCACGGGACGACGTCTAGGTTGGGCACAGGGACCTTTACGAAGCCCAACCAGGTGAGTAAGCGTGTGTTGGTGTTTTTGTGTGGATATTTTGCGAGCTTGTTGTCAATAGGAGAGATACGAGGAAACACGACGGCTAGCGGTAGACTGTGCGATGGGATTTTTGGACGGTGGGTTGCAACACTTCCCCGCCAGAGTAACCAGGGTCTCAGCCTCCGAGGTCCTACAGCATTCCAACTCTGCGTTATCACCACAACATGTCGACACAATCCTCCGAGTCTCTGTCACCCCCAAGAGATAGTCATCACTTCGTCCACATATCCTCAGCTGCCTCGCAATCACAACTATCCATATTCCTTTCTGCGTTGCTAGTCAGCACAAAAGTCGTCCGCTGCCAACCCAATTAGTTCAAATTTAGCCGCTAAGTTTCCTCCTTGCCAGATTTGCAGGTGGCGTTGCGAGGGTCCTGAGAATCAGGATCCATTCACTCCCAGCGTCTTACTTGAACCGAGTACTGCTATAGATCCTATGTTGTTTCAATTCCGTCTCGTTCAACGCCTGGTAGGTTTGCTCCATGTGTATTCACCGGAAGAATGCGTTGACACGAAGGACTGCTATGTCCCGCAACACATTTGCTTCAGAGTGACCGTGGCGGCGGATGCAGGATGTTGAACAGGTATCGAGAAAGTAGTCGGAAAGGTGGCCGAGCAATAGATAGAGAAAGCGGTGAAGGGAGAGGTCAAGGATGAGGTAGAGGAAGTAGCCAAAGAGAAGGTCGACAAAGAGATGAAATACAGGTAGCGGCGGCAGCATTACTGGGTTCCTTTCCATCGAGCGTGGTCCAAGGAACCAATCAGCACTGTATGTGAACAAGGAAAGAAAATAAAATGGAGGGCAGCCCACTCAATTGAGAAACCTCTTGCTGGCAACTTTGGCATTCGCAGAACTGGTCGCTTGATCGTTGGATGGGTGGTGACGGTGGTCTTTGCGGTGCCACGCATGCTCGGTGCCAAGTCCTGGGCAACGCTCTGCCGCGTCGGAAGACTCCGCTCAGCAGTCTGGGAATGACGCCTCAATCGACCAGCTTACAGCCACAGTGTACGATGGGTATGTAGCCAGCTTTTGTGACTTCTTGCGCGGAGCGTCCGGCATGTGGTATTGGGGCTGTATTGTGCCTCGTCTGCCCCGTCTGTGGGGACGGCATTCGGATGAGAAGGGGGGAAAACCGAACAAGGACAGTTGTCAAACAGAAAGAGCCAGGTAAAGAGAAATGCTGCCACTCAGAGGTGAAGGTGAGTCCCGCACATTTCCTTACCTTAGCTGAAGGCGCCTGCCTATCTGCTGCTTACTTAACTGCCTGACTGCTTGCTTGACTGCCTGACTGCTTGCTTGACTGCCTGACTGCTTGCTTAACTGCCTAACTGCTTGCTTGACTGCCTGACTGCTTACTTAACTGCTTGCCTGTTTGCCCACCTACCTACTTGCTTACTAGCTTGCCTACCTACTTACTTAACTATTTGTTTGCTTACCTGCTTACCTACCTACCTACTTAATTCCTTACCTAACTACTCGCCTAAAGATACTACGTGCAGAGATAGAGGACTGTGGTCATTATTTCCATTCCAACAGTGAGGAAAACGTTCGCCTCGCTAGATAGGCGCTCTTCTATCTTCTCCTCAGCCAGGGAATTTAACAATAGCAGTGAGAAGAGTATAGTATTTTAGTTCATCTATAAACTAGCGTTATATGCAGCCTTAGCCTATTAAACTAATATAAGTAATTTTACCTACTACTAACGTTAGCTAAATCTAACTAAACGTATATATAGTATACTTTAGAGTAGCATGCTAAGGCTATAATATTATTAGGGATAATATTTATTATAATATCTTTAATAATTAAACTAGCTCATAATATATAAGAGTCTGCTATATATATTAGAACGCAGTCTATAAGCTAGGCTATAAATAAGAAGTACCTTATAATATATATAAGATAGAATATAGTATAGTGTTATAACCTATTATATATAAGTAATAGTTAACTAACCTACTTAGGTATTAAGTAGCTATAATAGGATATTTATACTATAGGATTATAGGAATAGTAAGGACTTACTTAAAATAGAAGAACTATAGTATAGGTTATATTAGCAGTTTAGTTAACCTATATAAGTAGGTATTATAGTTCACTCTATATATTTTTTCTACTTTAAACCTAATAGTAGCACTTTAACCTATATATAATCTTAATAAAGTAAATAAATAAATCTTAGTATAACTAGTTATTAACTCTTAGCTTAACTTATCTCTAGCTATATAGAAGAGGGTAGGTAGATAGGTAGTTATTATAGTTAGCTATCTTATAGTAAGGTCTACTAGTAGAAGCTAGGGATAGATATATTATAATAATATATTAGGTTATAGTTTAAGTTATAAGTTATAAGCTATAGTAGATCTAATATTTAGAGGCTAAAGTAATTAGTCTTAAACTTAATAAGTAATTTATAGTAAAAGTAAGCTAAGAGTATCCTAAGGATAAATACTAAGTTAATTACTAAAGAGCTATAAAAGTCTAACTATAAGCTAAACTTAGGTTATACTATATAATATAAGGAAACAGCTACTAAGGGTTTAAGGTTAAGGCTAGCTATATAGAAAAAAAATTAATTTATATTAGGGGAGGTAGAAATAACTATAATTATAAAATTCTAAATATAGGTTTAAAAAACCTACTTAGTAAAAGCTAGTTCTTAGAATTTTAAATTTAAGTTTAGAAATCCTACTTAGTAAAGACTAGCTATTAGAATCTTAAACTTAAGTTTAGAAATCTTATTTAGTAAAAACTAATCACTTAAGGTTATAAGGGTTAGGTTTTAAGGAAAATTCTAAAATATTAAATACTTAAAACTTAA